CAAACCAAGGGCGGAGAAGAAGATTTTGAAGAACAGAAAACAGAGGGGGAAGAACAGAAAACAGAGGGGAGAGTTTGTTTTTGAGAGGAGAGAAGCTCGGCAAAAAAGAAGAAAAAGGAAGAGAAGGGGGGAAGAACAGAGGAGAAGAGCAGTGACCGAGAGGGAGGAAACGGAACCGAATAGAGAAGGAAAACAAAAAAGAAAACAACAAAAGAGAAGACACAGGGGTTGATATTTTTGCATAGAAGGAGGAGCAGCACAGCAGCGCCACCACCAGAGCCACTACCAGAGCCACCTCTAACTGCCACCATCCTCCCAGTCGTCGATAACAGCACCTGCACCGTGAAAAACGGAAGAAGAAGCAAACAAACAGAGATAGACAGAGGGAGGAACACAAAACAAAGAAGAAGAACAGCCGCAAAATCACCATCACAGCAGCTGCCCCCTGGTTTCCCAGCTACCATCCGCAGTCCCAGTCGCTTCCACCGCCACCAGCAGATAATAAAAGAAGAATAGAAAAATAGGGGGAAACTGAGGTAGACGAAGAGGAGAAGAGAAAGGAAACGCAGCGGCGTGAAAAGGAAGCACGCAGGAGAAGAGGAAGAACCACCGTCCTCAGCCGTGACCCGCCACCACCACCACCGGAGACAGCAACCACGCTCCCTGACTCCAAGTAATCTCTTCCCCTTTTCTGGCTCCTCTATTGTGTTCACCATTTGCATGCAGAACGTGAGCAATTCACGTTCTGCAGCAAAGTGGAAAATAATTAGCTGCTTACTGTGCTGCGCACAGTAACCAGCAAATTATATATAACGGGTCACCGTGATCAACATAGTAACCAGCTGTTGGTTTCTGGCTGGAAAATCAGCACAGCGCACGCGACTAGATTGAGTCCAATCACAATAAGGTTTTGTTTTTGGGCCGGTCCTGGCCTAATTTTATTTTGCTTTGATTTTGGTCCACTCTCTTTATTGGACCAGGTCTGCCTCGTCCAAAAAAAAAATATTCAAAAAATTATTTTTGAAAAAAAATTGTGATTTTCCTATGTATTTTTCTACGCCATGTTGATTAATATCAGTCTGTATTTTTATATCATAAAGATATAAATCTAATATTAAAATACTTAGTTTTCATCAAAACTTAAAAAGAATATTTTTGTTTTCATGCTTACGGTCGAGTCTCTCAAAGAAAAAAAATTATATCATATTTTCATACAACAAAGAAAATTAAAAAAAAAAAATATTTTAACATGCATTTTAGCTTTAATAACTGGTTCATTAAAATCGTGAGAACTTGGCTAATATTTCAAAAAAATTTCAAAAAATTATTTTTTTTAAATATCAGGGATTATGAATTTAAACGTAAAACGCATTCCCGATATTAAAATGATAGTTTTTTTATTGACATTAGGATAATTAAGTTTTATCTCGATAAGATAAGAATCTTCTTATCAAGGAGGACTTTTCTTAAACCATAGACAGACCAACAATTAGAAATATGATACAACCGTAGTATATATCAAACAATAAAACAATGCAGCTTACCTTAGGTAGGGTGTATTTGGATGCTAATACCTTTCCTTTACGCAACCAGTCTCCATACCTGATCTCTGATACCAGTTAGAGTTCTTAGTGATCAAAATACTAGATGACGACTCACATCTAATTTTTCCACTAATAAAAGACAAGAATTTCTTGTCTCCCTATATTTTCCAGATACACACACACTTTGAGTATGGAGGATGATTGTCGTAACGCTGCACACGTGCGACAAATATATACATGTAGATTTCATTGCTTAGTACGAAAGACTTAGAAAACAACAAAAATTATCTGTCAAGGCATCAATAAGATTGAACATATTATGGCTAACACTACACTCAATCTGTGTCGTGGTGAGCTTTAAAGGTTAGGGAGGCTGAACATCTTAAAGCTACATCAATGGAGTATGATATTGTTTATTATAGGAGTGTTAGGGATGATGGTTTGTCAATGAATGTCTTAGGCATGTCTACGAGCTAGGGTGATATTGATGTTGACACCTACATAGACATGTCCTTGAGTTGGACTAATTGGGGCAGTGGTGCAGATCCATCCACGAGCATCCTAGTTTTGTCTATAAGATGTGGTGATATTGGTCCTTTACCCCTAAATTGATGCTATGAATGCATCCTCGAGTTGGAAAAGTTAAGGTGGTGCTCTATTTCTATGCATGAAATGCGATAATCATTAGATATAGTTACATTACATGTTATGAGAATCATGAATAGATATATACTTAGGTTAATTGTAATAAAATGTTATATTATGTTAATTGTCTGTATAATTTTGCTAATTAGGATTGAAGATGTTATGTGAATTGTATTTTAAGGCTGGAAAACTAATTATTTAAATTTTGCAAATTATAGTTTTTTTGGGTAAAGAGTTAACGCATGAAGAAATTTTTTTCTAGTTATGTCTCATCATTAAGTCGTAGATGTTATGTGTGACTCGTATGTCACATATGTTATATGCGGCTTGCGTGTCGCAACTAGTATTTATGACTCGATTAAATATGTTAAATGTCTAAATATTTTTTGAATTATACTAAAATCCTCAAAAATTATGGTTTATAGTTGTAATCCTCATATTTGTCAATCCTAAGAAAAATATAAATTTATTGTTTTTGTTTGATTTTTGTTTTTTAAGAAATAAAAATATAATAAAAGTTATTATTAAATAACTAAGATGGTTAATTGCATGCTTTAATTTTTATTAATGTTAATTATGAATTAATTTTACTTGAACCAATTATTTCCAGAAAAATGTTTTTTTTTTCTCTCATGTATTAAAAAAAAACCTTGTTTTTCTTGTTACTGTTCATACCAGTCTATTAAAGTCTATTAGCAACTTTAATGTGTCAGAATCGGGCTTTTTAGTGAGATTTTTCATCTAAAATTTATGCATTCTTATTATAATATATAGTTAGCTATTTAATTAATTTAATATATTATTTTCCCAAATCAGAGTAACTGATTAAGAGTTATAATTAATGAAAGTATTAAGTTAGTTGATCGTATTCATTCTAAAAATTCTAGATTTTTTAAGGGTTTTTTAGTTTTTTGAATTATTTTGATAATATAAAATGAATATTTAAATTTTAAATTTAAATTAACAAAACATAATTTCATTTAATACCAATACTAAGAATTTGAATTTTTATTTTTTTATAAATTTATTTATTTCACATTTTATTATTATGCTTTTTTATTTTAATTATCAAAGTAATAACTAATAAAAAGTTTTGAAAAAAATATAATTATTTTTTAATAAAATAAAAAAGATTCAGTTGATATTTACCAATAAATATTTTTTAACGAGAAATGTTTTTGTGCAATTTTTTTGTCAAAAATTCCATCAAAAAAATATTTTCTAAAATAACTTCTTAGTATTCTTAATGAAATATTTTGTTCAAGAATTATGATTTTCTTTTTCTTTTTTGTTGTTACACTTGTTTAATTTTATATATATATTCACAAGGTAGGTTGTTGGACTTGAGGTCTTCTAAGGAAGGATATCATAATTTATCTATCGTTATTTTGGATTGGTCATGTTGTCATGTTCTAACTCGTTTGTTTACATTTAAACGAGTTTACTCCAAAGTATCAGCTTTTAGCCATACATGTATTCTTTAGCCCGTAAAGAATAGGTTTAATATTATTATTTTTTGAGTTAAGAGATCACTATTATTTAACTTTATCATATTGTGTTTTTTTATAAAAATTAAATTTTTAATTTAATTAGTATATTATTATTTAAAAATTATAATACTTGATAGATTTTATTAGTTAAATAAGTTTCAATATAAAAAAAAATCTTCAAAGGATACTAGGTCTAAAATTAGTATAAATACCCATACCTAGTTTATTTTTTATTAAGATTATTATTTGAATTTTAATAAAATATTAAGGAACTGTTTTCTGAATTTCTTTATAGTTTTAAGTAAATAACTTCAGAGATTGAGAATCGTAGTTTTTAACATCGCTAAACGTCATGTCATGAAGGTTTGCTGGCTTCAAGCATGGCGTGTAAAAGGCCAACGTGAATAGATTCCAATTAGAGGATCGAAGAAAGAAGGCTATGATGGTTGGTGGCGAGAGAAGAGAGGAAAAGGAAAGGAAAGGAAAATAAAGAAGAAGAAATGGAGAGATTTTTTTTAATTTTGTTTTACAGAATGATGAACGAAAGTGAGATTTAATAACAGTAATCTCATATATCAATGAAAATCGGCATCTTATTTTAATTGTGATATGATTCAGTGGGAAATATCTACCGTCAATAGCAACAATTGACTCCATAACAGTAACCTTCCTAGAGTGATTGCCAGTGGCCTGATTCTCTGGAGCTGAAGTATCATCCTTTTTACTGTCCTTAATTTTCTTCAGCAGCATTGAAGCCAACTGGAACAGTGGCTTCCTCTCCGACAGTAACCTCCGTCCTCCTGGCAAGCCAGTGGAAGCCATTGATTTTTGGTCCACTTCCTTCACTGATTTGTCTCACGTTTTTTGCTGCTTGTCTTGTGCTCCAAAAGAACACCAAAGGATTGTTAGCCATATATATATATATAGTTGACCAAAGTAAAAAAACTAAGCTGCAAGTGAAAAGCAGTCATTATAACTGAAAGATGCGACGGTGTGCCAAAGACTACGTTTCGGATCAAAATGCTCGTAAAAAATGCTCATAGACACTCCTTACATGGGCACAGCCGCCTTCTGATAGTAGTAATTGAAGTAGGGAAA